TTTCTTTTCAAAAAAACATAATGGGGAAACTGAGTCAGGAGGCTCTCATCTTAGACCGAGGCTAAAATTGTCCTCTCAGCTTTTCCAGATGCTGACTTCCCACATTCTCTCTGAGTAGGTTGTGGCATTTCTCGCAGATTACTGATTACTGATGAATTATTATGATCCATCAGACAACTCAAAATAAAATCCCATGAGCTTTTACCTCAAACAGCAAGTTTTGCTAATTAGCTTAAGAAAAACTTTTCCAGGATTTACATCTCAAATTTAAATTTGTCCTGGTGTAAAAAGCCAATCATTAGAGATTATTTCTATATACTTGCAAATTCTAAGCAAACCAAAACCCAAACATGCTTTTTCACAAGTTTACACATTAAAACATAACCAACAATAGCCAAATTGTTTTAGCTGTAACCAAATTATGAAAAGTTGCTTGACATAACTGATACAAAAAGTTCATCAATTTGAAACTTGAAACAAACCCATTACCAGTTACACAGAGAATCAACATCTCATCATTAACAGTTAAAACTACAACTTTAAAAGAGCGTACTTATCCAAGTTTGGAGGCTAGCTTCTTTACCTTGAGCAGGATGTGCTGAACCTGGGTGATGCTTCCAGGCAAAGGTTGCCCCAGGGCCCAAAGCCAGTGCCAGTGGGGTCCATGCTGTAGTGGGCAAATTCAAGGTGGGGGGAGGGGGAGGGTGAAACTCTCTTCTCTTATGAGAAAAATTAACAAGTACCCTCTTGACTCAAGGGAAGGGAGTGGGAGAAGGGAGTGACCAGGGTTGTAAGGAGGTGTTTCAAAACTCCTATAATGATCCATCACAAAACTCCCTGTAACCTCCATGAAGGAGGATTCAGGGTGTAGAGGGAAGGAAGTAAGGAAGTCTCAGGGAACCAAAAAGCACCTGCAGTTTTCCCAGTTCCTTAGCACCAAGAGAATTGACAGAACTGGGCATACACTTCCATATAGGGCATCTGTCCTTGTCCTCTATGCTGAGGAACATGGACCAGGTTCATGACCTCAAACTGAACCAATGGATTGAGAGCTTAAGAGTGTCAGGCTGAGTATGAGAAAGTTTTGTAACTATCTGCCCAAAAAGCACCTCCAAGCCTTCCCAGGTGCTTAGAGAGCAGCCCCAACTGCAGGGCAAGAAAGAAGTAGGGGGGACTTACATACCTTCCAATCTTGGCTTGAGAAGAACTTGGGGTTAGGCAGTTTTCCCCATATAGGCCACCAAAATGTTGAGGTTCAAGGGCTTATGGGTGCTGGGACCCCAAAATCACAAAACATGGGTCCTGCCTGAATGAATTCGACCCAAGCCTTCTTTCAGCCAAAGACAAGGTTTATTAGAACATCCTGTTGTATTGGGCAGACTTTTAAGGAGTCTAAATATTAGTGAGCTATTGGCTAGATTTTAATAATCTGAGCTAAAATCTTTTTTATGCATAGATTTAGTCATATCATATATGGGGATGGGGATGGGGGGTGGGGGGTGTACAGCTTAGTGGCACAGTGATTAGAATTTCAGCCCTGGAGTCAAGAGGATGTGGAGTTCAAATCCAGCCTCAGACACTAACTAGCTATGTCACCCTAGGCAAATCACTTAACCCTGCTTGCCTCAGTTTCCTCATCTGTAAAATGAGTTGGAGAAGGAAATGGCAAACTACTCCAGTATCTGTAAAACCCCAAATGGAATTATGAAGAGTTCCAACTCTTTTGTAGTTACCTATTGCTTATAAGGAAACCTCGAAATTCTATATTATTCAAAGCCTTCCACATTCCATTCCACCTTTACAAGCTCATCTCATGATATAAGCCTTATATACTTTACCCTGCAATCAAAATGTTTACTTTTATCCACTTTCATTTGTGTTGAGAAATAATCCATTAAATGATCCATGATCTAAAATTAATAATATTAATATTTGCATCATGCTTACTATGTGCCAGGTACTATACTAACCACTTTCAAATATTATCTAATTTGATGCTCACAACAGCCTTGGGAGGCAGATGCTATTATTATCATCCCCATTTTACAGATCAGGAAACTGGGGCAGAGACTATGTGACTTAAGGAGAGTCACACAGCTCATAAGTGTCTAAGGCTGGATTTGAACTTGATCTTCATAATTCCAAGCTTGATAGTCTTATCTACTGAACCACCAAGCTGAACAAATTATATTGCCTCTAACGTGGTCCTCGTTTGTGTGCATTTGGCCTGGTTCAGCTGCTCTTCATGTTTTTGTTTTCTCTAGATCCACTTCTGCTTCCACATGTAGCACAGAAGAGGCTAATATTGGAAGCCACATGTGGTAGCTTCCCTCTCATTGATAGAGGGAGCTGTCTGTTAGAGAAACCTTAGAAAATGTTTTCTTTTTTTCATCAGTTTGCTGTCTTGATTTTATCCTTAGCAATTCTTGGGATATTATAGTTAAACTACGTCTTGTGACAACGTTTTAATACATTTATTTTACCTCCACCACTTCTTGACATTCTGTAAAGCAATATTGATCATAATCTTTCACCATTCTCTACTTGAAGATTTTGGAAATTAATTTTATTATAAACTGGTGCTGCTGTTGGCTGCACTATCTCTCCGCTTAACAAGAAGATCAAGTGTTTTTTGGCTGAGGTAGTTTCTGGACTCTTGGTTTCCTCATTGTGGCAGTTGTTTTACTTTAATTTTCAACCAATTAAATGTTAAAACTTAAAGTTGATGATAGTCAATTTCAGATTGTTTAAATAGGTCACCATGGATTGTTTTGATTAAATACTATATCTTTTCATTTATATTTTATATATATAAATTATATATATTTTTATATATACAATTTTGTGTTTGTTTGATCTCTGCTATAATGTTAATGGTATAAAAATTTTGATTCAGAATTGACTTCTACATCAGAAATCATTTGCTTCCTACCTATTAAGGTATATTCAATTTCACTTTTTTTGTGATTATTTAGTGATCACCATATCAAGTACCTCTCAGAGCTGGGAGGGAGAGCTAAACCACTGCATGACAGTGTCAAAATCCAAAAGAAGCTTCATGGGCTAGAACGTTGGGCTGAATATAAACTCCACAAATATAAGATGAGGAAGACATGGATAGACAAAAGATCCTCTGAAAAAGATCTAGTGGTTTTAGTGGACTTCAAACTCAATATGTGTCAGCAGTGAGTTGTGGTAGCTAATTTGTGACTCTAATCTTATCACAATTCATGTAAAAAGCTCTCAGTGCATAAGCTCTTTCCATGGATGAAGATCATCAACTCATCAATAATTTAGTCTTATAAAGTTGTCTGGAGCACTGTGAGGTTAAGTGATTTACCTTTGTTCACAAAGATAGTATGAGTCAAGAGTCAGGGCTTGAACCCAGGTCGTTCTGACTTCATAACTGGCCTCCTAACCATATGATTCAACCACCCTGACTCATAATTACATAAAAATATTGAGATCTACCAATATGAGCTCCAGATTTTCTGTGCAACATCTAGGAATAACTACTTCAAGCAGTGTTGGGTGAAAGAAACAAAGCAAAGAGACACTAAGAAATGGGAAGCATTGAGCACTTAGGCTAAAACACAATACACTCCATCCATGTCCTCTGGGCTTTCTGTCTGGCTTGTCCCCCTTGCATTGTTTCCCACCTTCACTCCAGCTACTGACCTCTTTAACTTCTTTTAAGTCCTAACTAAAATCCCATCTTATATAGGAAGCTTTCCCCAACCCTTCTCACTTCTAGTGCTTTCCCTCTGTTCGTTAAATTTTTTTTTCCTATTTGTCCTGTATATAGCTTGCTTTGTATATATTTGTTTGCCTATTATCTCCCCCATTAGATTGTATGCTCCTTGAGGGCAGGGAATGTCTTTTGCCTCTTTTTGTATCTCTAGCACTTACATGCTTAATAAATGTTTATTGATTGATTGATTTGTTTGGCATGGGTCAGATATAAATGTGTGTATATGTATGTTAGTTATCTAAATGGTATGTGAAGAACTGGCTATAAATGGTTTCAGGGACTTAAAGATTAGAAAAAATGAAGATGACTCTGAAGTCCTTTGAAATGCCAACAGTGGTTTGATGATCAAGTAATTTGACAATGGCAGGGTTTAGGTAGAGATAAATATGAGCTATGTCTTTTCTTAGTTAAGTCCAAGATGTCCTTTAGGCCAAGAAATTTGATAGAAAAATGTGGAGCTTCTCCACTTCTGTGGCAGGAGTTGTGTCAGAACTGGATTTTAGCTAAATTATATTTGGCAGAACAAATTATAGCTGCAGAAAAGTTCATCTCAGAAACAGGGTATAAGAATATGAAGAGAAACAGAAAATATTCACTGTGAGAATGATGTAGTCAGGATGCCAAAAGAGAAAGCAATAGGAGATTATTTAAAAAGAAAAAGTGAACCTTGAGGGAGCCCTGAATATCTCAATACTGCATTTGTTGATGACACAGAAAAAAAGTGAAGAAGATAAAAGATTGAGAAAAAGACTCTTCAAATTAGCCCTAAGAGTCATTGCAGAAGAACTATTTGTCCTCAAGAGGATGATAGATTTTTTTCTTTTTTTGTAACCAAATTCTTAATGTGAACTTAGGCAGCAAGAAAATGTAGCTTCAGGGAAATTGGCAAATCTGTTTTTCCCCAATCATAAAAAGAACAGTGATTTTCACATATTTCTAAAGTCTTCCACATTTTGGTTTTCAAATTAAAGTATTACATTGATTGACTGCTTCCCTACTTTTAAAGAATTTAATTGGTAGGAAAGAAAACCTCAGAGAAATGCATGCTGCTTTTCTACTCTAAATCTGACATGTGTGGATAGAGAAGATAACGTTTATATAATTAATGAATATATTTTATGCAGAATTGTTGATTTTTCCTTGAGGATGAGCAGCTGATTTGGAAATGGGAAGTTTGAATGTTCTTTACTAATCTGGAAAATAAATAAGATTCTACAAGTCGTGATGATCTAATATTTTGTTTGTGCAGATGTTCCTGTTAATGCTACACTGGTGAATGTCTTTTTCAATGGATGCATGGATGTGAAAATTAATGGCAAAGAGCTGGATCTGGATGAAGCTATCTTCAAGCAGAATGATATCAGATCTCATTCATGTCCAACAGTTGCAAAAAACCCAAACACTTTTTAAAGCCCCTTTCCTCTACAAGATAAGATTTTTTTTCCCTCTGTGTGACTCAAGTTGCAACGTAAGCTGAACAGCATCACTTGGAATGAGCTGGGGGGAGGGATTATTTTCAAACCACTTTGACCCTCCCTAGGTAGAAAAAGCATGCTCTTTACAGAAAGAACAAAACTACTTTTGTGATACAAATAACTTTTAAAAAATTCTTACCTCTGTTGCCATTAATAACTTAAAATAATGAAATGCAAAGAATTTTTTAACTTTGATTTTTGCCATATTTAGTGTTGTCTGTATCACTTTTCTATTTGAAAAAAGTCAAATTTACTTTTTGTTTCCATTAAATAATTTTGTGTTTGGGTATTTGGATTTTTCATATGACAGGAGAAATATTTGTTTTCTTTTTCATGCTATATAAAAAAGAAATAAAGTGAACAACAGCACTAAAACATGACTGCATGTTATTGCTTATACATGCTTATTTCCCTACTGTTTGCAAAATAGAGTCTAGCTTATAAGATTTGACAAGTCAGTGAGGCAGATTGTTATTGTTTAGTCATTTTCATCATGTCCAACTTTTCATGACCCTATTTGGGATTTTCTTGGCAGAGATACTGGAGTGGTTTGCAATTTCCAGCTCATTTTATAGAGGAGGAACTGAGGCAAATCATGAAGTGACTTGCCCAGGGTCACATAGCTATTAAGTGTCTAAGGCCAGATTTGAACTCAGGAATATGAATCTTCCTGACACCAGGCCAAGACTTATCCACTGCACCGCCTCGCTGCAAAACCTGTTACCAAAGTCTTCCACTCCCCTTCCCCCATGACCTATCAAACTTTTATCTTTCTTTCTTGACTGACTTAGAAATTGCTGGGCCACTGCCAGTCATCTTGACTCTTGCCTTGCCTTGCCACTGGACTGTGATGACTCTGGAGGAAAGAGTGAGGCTGATGACTTTGCATAGCTCTGGCTCACTTAAATTGAATTCACTCAAAAGTCAAGACATCATTCTTGTGATGTTTTTGGTCCTCTTGATGAGCAAGTCTGTGAGTAGTAGCAGCCCTCTGGGAATCCAAACTGCTAGTTCCAGTTCAAGAATGCTGCTGTTTCTTCTCCTCTTTCCCATCCCTCTTGCCATATGTGGTCCCTCTCTAAAACCCAAATCACTCTGGCTTTCATGGAATGGCCAATAATAGGCGCCAGCCCAAGTTTTTGTGACATTATTTGGTTTTAAGTGCAAATAGCAATTTATTTTTTCTGTTCTGGCCAGAAACTCTGAGGTCTTCCTCTTCCAGAGTGATATTTTTGTGATGGCATACTAAGCCATATTTTATCTCAATTCTTACTTAGCCCTTAGTCATCGAATGGGTATTGCCTCAGACAAACTGAGACCTGGAAAGACCTTAATTTAAAAAGGCAAGGGAAACTCACTGCATCCCTGGGTCATCGCCAGTTGTCTTGACTCTTGTCTTGCCACTGGACTCTAATGACTCTGGAGAAGAGAGTGAGACTGATGAATTTGTACAGCTCTGCCTCACTTAAATCCAATTCATTTACAAGTCAAGACATCACCCTCATGATGTCATCGGCCTTCTTCCAGAAGGAAGGACAAACAACCATAAGAAGGAGACTTAGAAACCTCACCCTGCATATTTGTTACTTGGGAGTAGTCGTCTTTTCCCTTCTTATTAGCAAATTAGCAAGTTTAACCACCGGGTGGCATTGTTAGCCACTAACCTGATTCTGTTCCACAAAAAGGCCTTACTATACTTACTCTGGAACAGGGGTTCTTAAACTTTTTTGCGTGTCATGGACCCCTTTGACAATCTGATGAAACTTATGGACAGAATAATGTTTTTAAATGCATAAAATAAAATATATGGCATTAAGAAGGACGCTAATTGTATTGAAATACAATTATAAATTAAAAAAAGTAAGTTCATAGACTTCAGTTTAATGATTCCTGATATAGTAATTATGGAACTGAACCCCCCTTAGCAGAAGTGTGGGAAAGTGCTGACTTCTCTATGGTTCTTATAAGATAAATAACTTTCTATATATACTTGACCCTCCCTAACCATGCCTCTCTCTTTGTGACTGTGCCAAGTTGTTATAATGGGTGTGGCTAATGTAGATCTGCCCAATCAGACTAAAATCTGATTCCTCATTCTATTAGAAAATTCCCACTTATTCCCTGATTTTACTATATTTCACTGAGCCCTAGCCAGATGGTCGTATAACCTTGTTCTAATGTAATTGCTTCTTCACCGAAACAGAGAAAAATAACATGCTTAACATACCATGTTTTGTTCTTAGCAGAGGAACAATAAAAGCAACAAAACAATGTATAATAAAATGATCACCTCATAGCTACATGCTGCCCTTCACACAGTACATAGAATATTCAGAACACAGCAGTTCTAAGAAAGGTACAGCCTTGTTTTTTAGTTTCCCACATCAACTTAATGTGCACTAGTAAAGTGGAGTTTAGGAAACAACACCACCTGCTAACTGATAGTTGACACATTTATATTAAGACCAGGTTTTAGATGAATGATTCGTATCTGGATTTCAGTTTTTGTTAATGGCATAGAGCATGGGGTGGAAGGAATAGCTAAATGCTTACTATGTGTTAGGCACTGTGCTATATAAATATCTCCCTTATAAATATTACCATAGTATTATCACAACAGCCTTGTCAGGTAGGTGCTCTTTTTATCCCCATTTTATGGAAACCAAGGTAGACAGAAGTTAAGTGACTTGCTCAGGGCCGCACAGTGCCTGAGGATGGATTTTAACTCCGGTTTTCTGGACTCCAAGTCCAATGTTCTATCCTGCACCACCTAGTTGCCTCTGATACTTTGTTTTCCTGTTGCTGTCAGAAAACTCCTTACTGCTTCTTTTTCTGGCTGCTCACGGGTCAGGGGTATAGGAAAGAGAAAGAAAAATGTGGAGAAAAAACTGTTGAGGTGTTGATGGCGGAGTGGTTTGTCCCATTTCCTCTCAGTCTCCAAACACTTGTCTTTAGCACCTCTCCCTTGTCACAATTCCTTCACTTCCCACCAGCTATTCATTATGCTTGGTTTCAACTCTGTCAAAATTCCCTTTACCATCCCCACCCCAAGATAAGCTCATCACCAGGAAACCCATCATCTTGAAGATTGCTTCATTTTTGGTACTTGTACTTCATCAGTACCCAAAGCTGTCTCTACTCCTCTGACTGGAGGGCTGGAGGGTGGAGCAAAAACTCCTTTCAAAGCCTCCCATTATAGAGGGCTCAAAATTCCCAGCCATCTCTTCATTTCTCATAGGCAGTACTTGGTTTTGGCTCTGCCATCATAATGCCCCACTTCCTCCACTCGGTACCTCTGGTGCTCCCCTCCTTTTTCAGCTTCCTTTTGTATATTGTCTTCTCATTAGATTATGAGATCCTCAAGAGCAAAGACTATCTCTCTTTTTCTTATTATACCCCCAGTACTTAGTACAGTGCCTGGTATATAGTGAGTACTTAATAAATTTTTATTGCATTGTATTATATTAAATATTATCTCACTTCTGCATGTCTATTTTCTCTTGCTTCTAACCAGTAGCCAAAGCTCCACCTAAAGTGGGATAATGACAAGAACAAGAGGGAACACTACACATGGATTAGTCTGGGAAGTAACAGCATACAAAGCTAGTCCAGGAGTCAGGAACTATTTTTCCCCTTCTTCCCTTTCTTTGTATTCCCAGGACTTAGCATAATTCCTGGTTGTTGTTGTTCCTTCATTCTAACAACAGCAACACCTGGTACATAATAGGTTCTTAATAAATGCTTATTGACTGACCACACACACACACACATTCAGCATTCAGGGCACAATTCCCTAGGGGTATGGAGGGTTCCTGTATCACTGCCCCTCTTCTCTTGCCTCACAGGACAAGTAAACAAGAGGGAATAAATAAATCCTTGTATCTATGGTCCATGCATACCTTGTACACTATGAGCTTTGTTTTTCATCCACCACTTATTACTACTCCTGTCATTAACAATTTCCAACCTTATAGTTCACTCCCTATCCTTGTATACAATAACTGTCTAAATAAGATCCCCACATTCTATTCTTTCATCTCCATCTTCCTCAACTTTATCTTGCCCAAATTAAACTTCAAACTTGTTCACCCCTTTTACTGGGCCCTCTGGAATTTCTGTTCCATAGTGAACAAAGTTTGTTTAATCCTAGATCTCTTTCTCTCACACCTCTTCCATCTACTTAGCCCTAAATGAAACCTGGTTTTCCTCTGAAGACGTTAAATCCCTGGCCTCTCTACCACTGGCTTTACCCACAGTCTCCTGACACACTTGTCCTGAAGGAGGAGTTAATAATACTCTTTACCCCAACTGCTACTTCTTAGCTCTCCCTTTACCACCATAATTCAGCCATCTTTTTCTTGAAATTCACAATATCAATATTTTCCATCTAATCCAGATGATGATGGTGGATGAATACTAACCTCCAGATCATTCTCCCTCCTTTCTTACAGAGTTTAAAACCTGGTTAACCATGTTCCTTTCCTTCTCAAATTCTGTCCTTGTTTAGGAGACTTACAGTATCCATGCCAATGTACCCTCAAACTCTTTAATTTCACAATTCCTTAATCTTTTTACATTCCATGTATTATTGCATGGATATGATATATGTTATGTATGTACAACATATATGTTATATATATCATCTATACATATGATATATTATATATGAATGTAATAATTATTACATTCTCTTATTATTCCATAATCTGCTCCTTCCCTCTGCAAACGAGAAGTGCTCTAAATTTACTCATTTAATGCAGAGAAAAAGCAAGTATCCTCTTTTCCCTATTATTATTTGCAATAATTATAGAAATCATACATTAGCAATAAGACAAGAGAAAGAAGCTTAAGGTGTAATTGGCAAAAAGGCAACAAAATTACCCATATTTGCAGATACATGACAGACTTACTTAAAAAATAATTGAGACAATTAATATCATTAAAGTAGCAGAATACATAATAAATGTTCAATAATTGTAAACATTTTATAGTAAAACAAAAAGGAGGAAATAATAGAAATAGAAGTTTCATGCAAAATTACTACAAAAAGAATATAGTAACTGTGAATAAACCTACCAAGCTATAGTTCACTTGTGGAAATACAATTACTATATACTCTTTAGAGAATTAGAAGAAGACAAATAATTGGAAGGGATATTCATTACTCATGTCTTGGCTGTGCCAATATAATAAAAATGTCAATGCTGCTTAAATTAATTCACTGATTTAGTGCTATACCAATCAAACTACCAAGGGGATGCTTTACTTGAACTAAACAAAATAACAAAAGCATTCATTTCTGAGAACAAAAGGTCTAGAATCTCAAGGGGAATAATGAAAAAATTAGA